TGTGCTGCAGCCGGCTGTTGTCAGTGCACATTCTCGCCTGCTTGCAAACTGCCAGCGGTGGTTTTCTACATCAGTGGGTGTCCGATATTTTGGGAAGAGAGGGAGCGAGCATGGCTGGAGCCTGTATATCCAGAGGCTAAGGTTTGTATCAGGGCTGCTTTTGCCTGTTATAATTTGTGGCACAGATTCAGTGAGAATCTGATCTGCTGAAAATATTTGGGCTGTGAAAACTCCCACACTGTGACAGATGTCAAGTCCAATTAAGTGACTCATGTCCAGGTTTCTGTCCAATAGGATTTCCCATTAAATATCAATTGAAGGGGGGGTGGGGGGAAGCCAACCCCCTTTTCTCTAAAGCCTTTATCTCCTCCACTGTCTCCAGGCGAAATCCTTGGGTACCAGGAGAGCATCTTGTCTCTCTGTCTGTCCAGCCCCCTCTGCCACCTCTTCTCCACCTCCCCCTGCTTCGCTGCCACTACAAGGGACTCCCACTTTCCCAGCTCTGTTATCTCTCGCAGCATTTCCAAGCCACTGGCAATATTTTTTTTTTTATTTTTTTTTGATACCAGAGATAAAGAAGCAGCGGGAGCGCAGGAAAGGGGAGGTCTATTCTCCCCCCCACCCCAGTTTTGAAGGACTGGGAAGCCAAACTCAGCCCAATCTTTCTTTGCCCCCACCTCTCCATGCCAGGAACGAAAGCCCCGCGCAGCAAGAAGACGGGGGGCAGGCTGCGCTCGTCCGGCATGGTGTGCGCCTGAGAGCAGAGGAGGCAGCCGCCGAACAAAGCCGATCCGTGCCCGACAAAATCTCACTTGTGAGCCCCGTCGCATCCGAGACCCTGCGTGTCAGCGTCACCTCGGAGGGGGCCAGGCGAGGAGCACCGCGAGCGCTGGGACTCGCCCCCCAGCCCCTGCCCGGCTCCATCGTGGGAAGCAGGGGCACGGGGGGCCGGAGAGCTCGGTCGCGTTTGATCTCGGCGTCTCTTTTGTTATTTCTCCCGAGCGCTGTCCAGCACGGATCCCTTCCCGCGGGCCCAGTCGAGCCACTCCTCGCCTCTCCGGGGACCGCCTGGGATGGAGACACGTCCTTCGCATCCAGCCTAAGTAACTTCGATTCCTAGAGCCGGCCCCCACCCCGAATTGCCGCCCCGGAGCTGCCAGGCCAAGGCAGGGGATGAGAGCCGCCTTCGCCGCCGCGCTGCCCGCCTAGCTTCTCCTTCTCCTTCTCCTCCTCCTCCTTGCATGTGCTTGATTTGAAGGGGGACAGAGGCGCCGTGGGGGCCAGGGGGCTTCGCCGCCGCTTGTTGCAAGGAGTCCGCCCAGGTAAGCCGCCTTTCTTGGGCAGGTGGGAGACACTTCCTCGATGTCACAGAAAATGCGGGACCTCGGCAGCTCCTCTAGGCCAACCCCCTGCTCCAAGCGGGACCGTCCCCGCCTGCATCATCCCGGAGATTTCCGAGGGAATTAGTCATCCGCAATCATTAGTGCTGCCCACGCAAGGGGGTCCCCGCCACGAGCTGCACCCAACGGGGAAAGAGCGATCAAGCCCCCTCCCTCCAGCCCACCCCCACCCAGGCCGGGCAAAGCTTTACAGCAACTTTGTCCCGTGCCCGGAGCGGGGGCTGGCCCGGGGCGCATCGCGGCCGCTCGGGCTCTCGCTGCTGCGTGCGGGGCCCGCGGCTCGGGGTCACTAGTATTTATCAGTCTTGGTTTTCCTTCTAAACCCTTCCCTTCCCTTCCCTTCCCTTCCCTTCCCATGTGCCGGCCCTGCCCGCTGCCCTCCTCCCCCGCCCGCCCTCGTGCACCGGGGGGACGAGGCGTCCGAGGGGTCTCCGGCCCCCGCTCCCCGCCCCGCCGGCCTGCGGGGCATTTCTGCCTTGCCCTCGTTTCCTTCTCCCCGGCCCCAACTTCTCCTCGGATCGCTTGTGCTCTTCCTTTCCGGGGGGTTGTTTGGAGGTTTGTTTTGAACACCCCACTCCCTCCACCCCGGACACACACACACACAGATGCGCATAGATAGATATACACACACAGATTGGCACAAAGACACCCACACAGGTACACACACGCACGGATGTATCTACACACAGATACGCGCACAGATACACACGGATAGATATACACACAAATATATATATACATGAAGATATGCACACCCATAGAGATATTCAGGAAGATATCCACAGACACACACACACACACACACACACACACACACACAGAGATACACACACAGAGATACGCACACGGATACACACACAGATGTATCACAGATATACATCCACACACACACAGATAGATACACACACGCATACTCACAGATGGATATATACACGGATAGATATACACAGAAACACACAAACCTTGCCACGCTGATACACACTCAAATACACAGATAGATATTACACACTGTTGCACACTCAGAGATACACACAAAGATACACACACAGGTGCACACACAAAAATACATACAGATAGAGATATTCACACAGGTACACACTCAGATACACACACAGGTAGAGATACACACACAGATGTACATACAAAGATACATACAGATACCCAGAGAGATATACACACAGATATACACAAAGATACACACAGATAAACAGGGAGCTATACACACATATCTCAGATACACAGATACACACACAGGTAGGTACACACAAAGACACACACAGATGCACACACGAAGATACACACAGATGCACAGAGAGATATACACACAGATACACACAAAGATACACATATACACACAGAGATGCACGCATAGATATACGTACAAAGACACACACACACACAGATGCACACACACACGCAGGCATTTCTGTCCAAGGTTACTCAGTAGCTGCCTGGTGTATTGTTTTATTACATGCCGGCATGTCCATATCTAAGTTCCTGGGTTTGTATTGCTGTCTACATGACAGATGGTGGGTGCTCTGCGAGGCTGCAAGGAGATACGATTCAATTTTCTTGTGAAAGGCACGTCCCGTTGCATTTATTTATTTATTTATATGCTGCGGGGGGGAGAGGGGAGGGAGGCGAGAGAGAATTAAAATCATCATCATCATCATCATCATGCTCGTAAAAAAAATGGCAAAGTTATTCTTGTGACCACCTGAAACACAATCAAACGCCGTAAAGCTGAGCCCTCCTCCTCCGCTCACCGGCTCGGATGCTACGATTTCAGGAAAACGAGCACTGTAAAGGGAGGCTAGAGCAGGGGGGGCGCATCCCACCCCGCGGGTCTGGCTGTATTTCCACCCTGGCCTTGTTTTGCTAAGGGCTAGCTAGCCTTGCTGGGGAAGGCATCCGAGCCCGATGCGATCCGGTTCTTGTGATGCGGGGGAGAAGCTCAAGAAAGAAAAAAGAGAGATTTAACGGATACTCGATGGGGAGGGGAAAAAATCACTGTGTTTTTTGTTTTTTTTAACATCCGTGTTTATAAACGATCCACTTCATATTTGCTTTCTTACGAATCCCCTGGAGATTCCCTGGGTTGGTTGGGGTTTGCTGTGTTTTTTTTACGGCTCCCCAAGCCGGTTTCCCCAAGCCGGGGAAATGAGCCAGTCTCTTCTGCTGAAGCGGCTGGCCAAGGCTAGGAATTAGGTCGTAAATTACAGCTGGTGATTTATTACCCTGAGCATCACCGCGAGGAGCCACGGCCACGCGAGAAAGTGCCTGCTGCCTCCCCCTCCGTGAGATGTGCCCCTGCAGAGGGGGCCCCGCCTAGCCAGCTCGCAGAGACCCGGCGGGGGTCGGGGTCGGGGTCGGGCTTTGAACTACAGCACTAGTGATATGACAGTCCCAGCCCCCTGGGAAGGGACAGGTACATTGTCATTCTTGCCATTATTATTGTGGCGATCGTCACCAGCAACACACCACCACCAGTAATAGCAGCCGGAATAATAATGAGGAGGAGGATGGTGGGGATGACCATAATAATAATAAGAAGAAGGAGCAGTGAAGTTAGGGGCACAGCCTCTGGATCACAACTTCCTGCAACCTAAAATGCTGGAGGCTGCAAGGGAGAGAGGAACAGGGGGGAAACATCCTGGTTGTGCTCCCTTTCAGCCTCCCCGTGTGACACAGGCGACTTGGGCAAGATGGATCTATGGCTGCCCCGGCAAATGGCACTGATGTTCTTACGAGCAACAGTGGGAAAAAGATCCCGGTCAAACCCACTTCACTCTCCCTTTCAGCCTCCTCTCTCTGCCCTGTGTGGCACAGCATGCTGGGCCCAGGGGCCGACCCAGTTTGTGGCAGTTCTTCTGTCCTCATGCTGTTAATACCATGCTACTGGTAATAGCAGGGGTAATAATAAATAATGAGAATAAGGGGAGTCAGAAAGGCTGTGCCCCTACCTTCCCTGCTCCTCGTTCTTGCTGCTGCTCTTATTGCTATTATCGTCCTCAGCATCACCACTAGCAATGCACGATAATAACGATGACGACAATAACAACAACGGCAACAATAATAAAAATAATAATCATGGAAATAATAATAACGATAACAGCAACAACAATAATAATGATGACAACGATAATAATAATGGTAATGACGATAATAAGAATAAGAATGATAACGATGATAATGATGGTAATAATAATGACGATAATAACCATGATAATGACGATAATGATAATAATAATAATGACGATAATAATAATGATGATGATAATGAAAGTGATGATAGTAATAACGGCAAGAATAATAACGACAATAATGATAATAATAATGATGATCTTGGTAATAATAATGACAATAGTGATGATAATAATAATGATAATAATGACGATAGTGATAATAATGATGGTGATAACGGTAATAATACTAATGATGACAGTGATAATAATGGTGGGGAGAATGGTAATAATAATAATAATGACAACAGTGATAGTAATAATGATGATAATGGTAATAATAATAGTAATGACGATAGTGATAATAATGGTGATAATGGTAATAACAGTAATGACGATCGTGATAATAATAACGATGATGATAGTGATAGTAACAATGATGATGATGATGGTAATCTTAATAATAATGACGACAATAACGATAGTAATAACAGCGGTGATCATAACAGTAATCATAGCACTCGCAGCAATAATACTAGTGACAAGAAAAGCCAACCAGTACTAATGCCAATGCTGACCACAGTAGCACTAATACTCCTACTAGGACTAGTCCCAGTGCTACTTCTAGTCCCCCTGCTGCTGCTCACAACACGGGCTAGCGATCACCGATGATGCCGGTGGGCCCGGGCCAGGCCCTGCTGCCCCGGGCTGGGGGCGGGCGGAGCGCGGGGCGAGGCCGGAGCCCGCGCTGTGTGGCCCCGGCCC